GTGTCTGCATGATCACACAGACACAACAAGATGCTGTTTGCCATGTGATGGTTCGAGGATGGATTTGGTGTGGAAGGCACCTGACCTACCTATGTATCGTGATGAGACGGATCCGTCTTCATGCTCATGATCCCCTTCTCGCCAGCCCAACCTGCTGATCGCCTCGGAGTTGAGCTCGCAGTCCTAGCGAAGAGGAGAAAGGTAGAGGGGAAACGGATGAGGAGAAAGGAAGAGGGGAAAGGAGAGAGGAAGTGGAAGGAGACCTGCAGCCACTCTGCATCGTCCTGATGCCCAGCGACTTCACTGGAGAGCGCTCGAATGAATGGAGTAGCCTTCAATATCAGACACACGCCGGGTTCGTCCCGAAGCTCGGCGCGCCTCTGCTGAATGACCTCAGCCCTCAGAAAGGCGAGCGCATCTTAGATCTCGGTAAGAGCGACGAAAGAAAGTGACCGAACGCAGCGCATCTGATTCAATCATTGCAATGTGTTTGTCGCTCTCAGGGTGTGGCGATGGGGTCCTGACCCTGCAGCTCCAATCATCTGGCGCTTCCGTCACCGCAGTCGATGCCAGCGAGCCGATGATCCACGCAGCCCGCGACAATGGCATCACTGACGCGCACGTCATCGACGGCCACCGGCTGGACGAGAAGATGCCTGAGTGGGAGGGGGCGTTCGACGCCGTCTTCAGCAACGCGGCTTTGCACTGGATGAAGAGCGACCCGGCAAAGGTGGTGCGGAATGTGCGAGGGCTGCTCAAGAAGGGCGGGCGGTTCGTCGCAGAGTTTGGCGGTTACGGCAACATACAGTGCATCGTCGACGCACGTGAGCCAGTGCGAGGGAGGGATGGGGTGACTCGATGCCATGCTGCCTTGTCCGTCGTTCAGTGAAGGAGGCGCTGGCTGCCCGCGGGCACTCCGACTTCGACAGCCGGCACCCGTGGTTCTTTCCCACAGCGGAGGAGTACACGGCCCTGCTGGAGGCGAATGGCTTTGAGGTCCGGTCATGTGTGCTGATCGACCGGCCGACACCCCTCCCCACAGACGTCGCCGGATGGTACGGATGAATGGATGTGGACTCAGCCAGGCCGGCAGAGACGCGGTGGTCATCTATGTTGGTTCTCTGTGGTGCACTGCAGGCTGACGACATTCGGTGATTCTTTCTTCGAAGGTATAAGCGGCGATGAGCGCGAGGCTATGCAGCAGGATGCCCAGGAGCGGGCAAAGGGGCGGCTGTATCGGCCTGTGAGAGACGATGTGTTTGGCCGGTGGGAGGGGGAGCTGACTGGTGACGAGAAGGGGAATGTGTGGTTGGCTGACTACGTCCGGTGTAGGGTGCATGCCGTGGCAATCACAGCCTGATGGAGACGGGCTAGCGCTTGTCGCATGACACTTGTTGACCATGATGCATATCGAACCGGCTGTTTGATGCAAACAGTGCGAGTTGACATCGTCGATGATATGGCCTCAAATTGCGTCTTCGGAGGTTTGCAGACCCCTTTGAGTCGTGCGCGTGGCCAGCAGAGGCCTGCCTCCTGGTTGACGTCCCTGTTGGCACGGCCGCATAACGGTCGCAGGAGCCATGGTGATGTAAACGCAGGACCCATCTTTCGGCCTATGGGTTTGGCTGCCTGATCAGCATACCATGAATCATCTAGCACATAATATGTATGTAACATTGATTCAGCCGACCTCACGCGTTGGCCAACACGTGTAGATCGAGACGCCGCCACTCGCATGCACAGTGCCTTCCGTCTGATCAGTATCGCCCCCAGCCGCCTAAAAGGCCGTAGAGAAGGTTTCTGCGAGTCGTTGGGTTGTTGAGGATGGCGCAAGTCGCCGAGACCATGGAGCACGACCCCTATGTGGTCCAAAACTTCCACTTTTCTCGAATGCTCGGATCAGGTGAGCTGGCGGGACGAGTGGGAGGGCGAGAGAAGCCGGGGAAGCGTGAGACACGGCGTGGGACGTGATGCACTGAGGGAGGCGGGATGGAATGCGTCGGATGGATGGTGCATTTTGCTCTGTGTGGGTGCGTGGACGCGTGGCTGATGCATTGGCATATTCTTGAGGCTTTCCATTACGTACTACCTCCTTTTCATTCTTTCCCTCTGTCTGCGTATTCTGTTGGTGTGCAGGTGTCTATGGCTGCGTAGCTGCCGTGACGAATCGCACGTTGACGGAGGTCCCCGAGGGCACACGACTGGCCATCAAGAAGGTGACCACGCCACTGACTGATCATCCTGGGGGAACTCATGGTGACGTCTCTCTCACCCGCCGTTCATTTGGTGCGGTGTGATATGGTGCGTTGTTGTGTGCAGATGAGGAAGTGGAATGGGGGCGAGGGCATAGAATCCACCACGATGCGCGAGGTGAGGCCTACCACACGTTGGCAATCCCACACACAAGCCGACCACCACAACAAAGCAACCATCTTCCCCATCTCCCTCCCATCTTTCCGTGTGTGTGTGTGTGTGTGCCAGGTGAATGCGTTGATGGCGTTGAGGGGCCACATGAACATCGTCACCCTCCACAAGGTGGACATGGACCCCTCCGACCCCATGGCCACCATCGTGTACCTCATCTTCGAGCTGTGCGAGGCCGGCGACCTCGGACGCCTCCGTACCATCTGTGCCAAGGAGAACAAGATCAACTACCCCTACTGGAACCCCAACAAACTACTCCCCAAGAACACAGGTACGCACACACACACAACGACAACACACACATGGGACAGGGAGAGGGAGAGGGGCAGGGGCTCATGTGTTGGTTTCTATGTGTTTGTGTGTTGTGGTGTGTGTGCAGTGCCGACGCTGGAGCAGTTGGCCCGCGTGATGTACCAGATACTCAACGGCATCGCCTACATGCACTGCAAAGGACGTACGCCATCCTGGCACTATGGCGCACATCATACCAACCCCTCTTCCATCCACAGCCATGTTCTGACGTATCTCTGTGTGTGTGTGTGTGTGCAGTCATCCACCGTGACCTGAAACCGCAGAACATCCTCATGACCAACAACTGGATCGTCAAAATCGCCGACTTCGGTCAGTAACCGCACACAAGAGATCCGCCCACACATCCATCCATCCACTCGGCCTCTTTGCTCTCTCTCCCTCTCTGTGTGTTTGTGTGTATGTGTGTGTGTGTGCCTCACTCAGGTTTGGCCCGCACGGTGACGATTCCGAATAAGTTGATGTCGCACGAGGTGGCCACTCAGTGGTGAGCACACAACCCATTAGCCCCCCCCCCCCACACACAGACATACAGAGCATCGCACAGTGCATTCAGCAGTGTCTCTCTCTCTCTCTCTCTCTGTGTGTGTTGGTGTGTGTGCAGGTATCGCCCGCCCGAGTTGTTCATGGGACCGGCCGACTTCAAGTACACCTATGCCCTGGACATCTGGTCAGCCGACGAACGACACAACACTCAGAGAGAGGGAGAGGGAGAGGGAGAGGGAGGAGACCTGTGCACTATGGTGTGTGTATGTGTGTGGGTCACGTGCCGTCGTCAGGTCCACTGGGTGCATCTTCATAGAGTTGACGAGCGGCATGCCGGCCTTCAACGGCCACACTGAGGTGCGCTGCACAACCAAACACCACACACACACACACACCTGTCTGCCTGTGTGCCCATCTGTCCGTGTTTACGTGTGTGTGTCTGTCTGTGTCTGTGTTGCCACATGTTTGTCAGTTTGAGACGTTGATGAAGATGCTCAACACCCTGGGCACGCCCACCAATGCCATCTGGCCGCGCAGCGAAGCGTTCACCTACGCCGACCACTTCAATGTGCGCCCCTCACACCCCTCACACACACACACAACACAACACAACACAACTCATTCATCTCTCTCTCTCTCTGTGTGTCTGTGTGTCTGTGTGTGTGCAGAGTTTCCCCAAGTTTGTGCGCGACCCGCGCGACGGCATCACGGCGCTGCTGCGCCGCAGCGACGACTCCATCTCCCAGGCCGCCGGGTACCATCCCTATGGCCGCACCGATGTGGATCGCAACTCACTGCTGGTGGATCTGATCACTCGGTGGGCTGGGGAGCGGGGAGCGGGGGTGAGGGTCATGTGTGTGATGTGGATGCGGTTGTGTGTGTGGATGTTCAGTATGTTGCCGTATCAGCCGGACCGTCGCATCACGGCTGTGCAGGCGTTGTACCACCCCTTCTTCGACATCGTTGACAAAAAAAAAGTAAGTGGGCCAAGGAGAACACACACAGACACAGACACACAGACACACACACACACAGAGAGAGAGAGAGAGAGAGATGGACGAATGGACACGTCTCTTCTTTGCTTCTTGTCGTTTGTGTGTGCAGGTACCACCACTTCCTGGGCGAGTTGCAGGCCAACTATCCTGAAGGTACGTATACGTATGGTAGAGAGAGGAGACACAAACCCCCTCCCTCCTGCCCCCCTTGCCCACACACAAAGATACAGAGAGACACAGAGAGAGAGAGAGATACCCACCACCCACCCATCACCTCTTCCCCTCTCTCTCTCTCTCTCTCTCTCCATTCATCCATCCATCCCACGTAGGGTATCCCGTGATGCCGCCGAACCCGCCCTTCCCCGAGGTCAACTACGGCATCCCCGACGACCACATGGACATCGACGATGACAAGATGGACATCGACGACGGACCGGCACCGGCCGCCGCCGCCGCCGCTGCTGCTAGCGGTGGTGGCAGTGGCAGTGGCTCCAAGCGCCGCCGTGTCCGCCGTGGCCCCACACAGGGCAACAACCAGGCTGCCGGGGGCGGGGGGGAGGGGGTGCGGATGTCGCCCCGTCTGCAGGAGAAGCGGGAGAACGGCCAGGAACCTATCAATTACGCCCAGCTGTCCAAGGGCAAGGGCAAGAAGCGCGACCGCGACGGCCACGCCAAATAGAGCACCAACACACACCACACACCACACACATATACACAGATGGACGTGTTGAAGGGGGGAGTGTCTGTATGTGTGAGAATGCTGTGGCCGCCTGGCTGTGGTGAGTATGAGTGTTTGTTGTTGTGCTGTGTGGCCTCGTCTGCCTGTCCGTTCGTATGGTATTGTATGGTATTGTCTCTCTCAGTGATTTTGCTTTTTGGGAGAGAGAGAGCGGTCTCATACACACACGTCAGCCACACGCGCGCAGCTCTGCATCTGTTTTGATCACACACACCCACACACATAACGAACCGCACCCATGATGGTATTGCGTGGATGGGCGGTTATCAATCATTGGTTTTGTTTTTTGGCAGACGGTGAGCCGAACCGACAAACACACACACACCCGCACACTACACCACACCACACCACCTCTGCCAGCACTAGTTACTTGCCTCATTGCCGCTCTGTCTGACCTTTGGCCGCTCTCTGACTGAGCTTGAGGACGTACAGGGGCAGTGATGGGATAGCTAGTCAGTGCTGGGAGGGGTGGTGTGTGTGGGCTGCCTGGGATGTGTGTGAGTGGACGGACAGACTAACCGACAAGACAAACAGACAGACAGCGCAACCCACACACACAGAGAGACACAGAGACCCTCCGTGCCGTCCCCTTTTTTGCGCGTTTCCGTGCTGTGGCCGGCCGTGGTGCCTGCCTATATGCATGTGAGTGTATGGGTGTGTCCGGTAGTTTCCATGGCTGGATGGATGGCTCAGTGCTTTGATGGATCGATTCCACGCATGGGTTGATTGCATTGCCGCACGTGTTTGGCTGCTGGCAGGCGGGACGATCGATGCGACACTTAGCGAGGCAGACAGACAGCAGACAGACACAAAAGCGACCGACGGACCGACCGAATCAGTGAAGGAATGATCCATGATTCGTTCGTTCATCCATGCAGCATGTCCTCGGCCGTTCATTCAAGCCGTCCACGCACATACAGAGAAGCTTCCGCATCACGGGCATCGGCACGGGGTTGGGATGAGGCTGGGGACTCAAAGAAGCCGACGAGTACCTCACGGTGCGCAGGGACCCTGTCACACACAGATGATTCATTGACTGATCCCGGTGGGTGCATCTATCTGCGTTGGCTGGTTGTGGTTATCGGCCGTTCATTCAGCTTCTCTATCTGTTCATTCACACCATCTCAGGTTTTCAGCGGCCGCAACACGCACATCCAACATGAAGATGGGCACGACGACGCCGACATCGCCATGGTCGTCTCCAAGGCCTTTCTGAACAACGACCAAACAGCTTCTGTCTTCAGCCCATCTACGCAGCTAGCTGTTCTGTCCTGTCATACTGTACACACACACACACAGTGTCACATAAAACAGCCGAACAGCCCGCCCCTAGCCCAGGACGTCGACGCGATAAATGAGATAACACCACCTGGCCCAGTTGTAGACCAGCCGCACGGCTACGGTCCTGCCCCTCTCATCCCGCCCATCCCCCCGCCGCCCAGTCTGCTCGTCTGCCGCCGCCCGGCTGCCCCAGACCTTGACCAAGAAGACCATCACGTCATCGCTCTCATTCGATGGGGACAGCAAAGTCGACCGATCCATAATCTGCAGAGTGACCATGGACAGAAAGGTGTGGTGCGTGGGGGGCATCCATCGATGTGACGTGACGGACCTCGTATCGGGTGAAGTCCATCAGGAATGGATAGAGCGTCTCGATCATTTGCCGGAAGGCCCCGTAGGTCAGCGTGGGACCCACAGGCAGACCTGCAGACAGACACATGACACACAGACAGACACCAAATAAGTTGGATCAAGAATGCACACACACGCACAGGACGGTCGTTGCTCACCTCCCAGTATCCTCGTCTGCGTCCAATCCATTCGTTCATCGCTCGACGGCTCCCCATGGAGCGTCTGGCGGCCCGCGTGGTTGGCGGTGAATCGAAACGCCTCCCTGACGCCGGCATCGTCGGCCGCGTCACGTCGGTCTCTGAGCGCCCGCATGACGTACTCGACGAGCCGACGGGGCGAGGTGAACTCGGCTGGCCCTCTCTCGCCCACCGCTCCAACTGATCCAACGACACAGACAGACACCGCAGACATCATGATGGCAGCCATGGTTTCCTCTGTCACTCACTGGTTGTGGTACCTGGGTCCAGGCCTCTCTTGGCAACTTCGGATCTGAGTTGCAGAGCAAGATCTTCTTGTCCGTCCTCTCCCATCGCTGCACCATCGGCTGACGCGCCGCCTTCATTGGCCAGAGCTGCAGCCGCTCGTCGTTTCTTGTGCGGCCTGACCTGGGGCAGCAGATCGCAGCGCAGCAACGAGCGGGGCGAGATGAACAACATGTGTGGCCGTGGAAGCCCCTTCGATGAGTCAGTTGCTGGGCTGTGAGGCATACCCGCCACCGTCAGCAGCATTGTGAGCGATGCAAAGAGCCGGATGGAACAGAAAGCGGAGCTGCTGCCTATCCGTAGGTGTGTAATGGCCATCCATAGCCCTACCTGCTTTGGCAGTCAACAATTGCGAGCTCCCTAGCGATCCCTGCCACTTTCTACAGCGCACAAGATAACGGACGCCACGCCCTAGCAACAGCCAACGCGCAGTGCTTACCATGTATCTCTTCTCGCTCATCTTCCGGCTCATCTGCTCTTCACCTTTATTCTTCCTCAGGGTCTGGCTTCCATCAGGAGATGCGCTCCGGGTTGCCGACGCCCTTACCGCTGGCTGTGTTGGCTTCGCCCATACACATCATCGTCATCATCACTCTCGCGGCCTCTTGCTTCGCCGGGTGGCCGCCAATCACTGCCGGCGGACATGCACAACAACCATGGGCACTCGAGGCCTTGCTGGCTTCAGGTTCCAGGCGAGAACGTACAACATATTCAACGTGAGCAAAGGAACGGGTAGGCCATGGGTGGTTTCGACACGAATGTGCCGTCTTGTCTGTGTGTGCATGTCGATCAGCAATATGATGCATACCCGAACTTCCCAGGCCTGGGTGAGAGTGTCCTAAAGGAGGTCAGAGCGGCCCTCGAGGAGGACAGGAGCATGCAGAGATGGAAGGACCAGGTACACGCTGCACGCAGTGTTGTAGCTGCTTTGTGTCTGTCTGTCCATTGTGTCTTGTGTGTCAGCTGGGGAAGCTGCAGTCCATCTACGATCCGGACGAAAGCATCGACCACGTGTCCCTCGAGGACATCCTCCACCGTGAGCGATACCACGATGCTGGCCCGCCAGATGGCGTCTTCATCGAGTATGGGTATTGGGCCGACCTGGACAAACAGAGACTCATCTACTACAAATACGGCCAGTGGAGTTACATCACCTTTGGGGACATCCTGAAGTGCAACCTCACTCAAATCGTCGAGGCAATGGGAGACTTGGAGGAGGACGAGGAAGTCTTAGACAGGAAGCCCCCAGGGTTCCTTAAGAGTCTGTCTCAGAATGATATCAAGGCACTCACGGGAGATAAAGAGGAGCCGTCTGGAGCTTGGGAGGTTCTGGGAAGAATGGGCAAGGCGATGTGTGCCTCTGAGAACCAGAGCACTGATGAGTTCCTCAGCTCTGAAGGGTCGACGGTGGAGCCGATCGAAGGTGCCCCACCAGCGACCAAGAAAAAGCGCAGCAGCGGGGGGAAGAAGCGGCCGAAGGACACCGATACACCGGCTATCTTTGGCTTTGTTTATCAGAACAGCTCGGTCCTGGTTCGCCAGGAGAAGAATGGCGAGCCCGACCGCCTCGGTCGCCAGATCCTCGACGAGCTGCGGTGCGAGTACACCTTCGACCCCTCCCTGGAGCGCTATAGGCGGCTCCTGCCAGACATGATTGACCTAGACAACACCCCTCTCTGCGTACTGGCCGCTCGCTTCCGGGGCAATGTTGTGGTCGAGACGACCGATGGATGGGTGGTTCGGGGCTTCCGAAGACGCGATGACTATGGGAGCGACTCAGGCCGGCCACTGGACAGGCTCCTGGAAGATCGATTCTTCCGCAGCGCCTTCCGGGCCCCCAGATCCATCTGGCTTCCACTTCCGAGAGCCCGCTATCAGTATATCATCGACCTGGATCAAAACGAATTGGTCATGGCGGGGCCAGCCAACAAGGGATACCATGTCCACCTTGGAGAGCGCCACGGATCTCGCGACTGGCTGGCGGTTTCTGAAGCTTTCCTCAGCTGGCTTGGTAGTGAAACTGAGGATTCGCCGCTGCCAGAGCAAGAGGGCCTGGCATACCGGACGGGAGTCGTCAATGTGTATTCAGCCAGGACAGAGGATGGGCAGTGGCTGGTCGATGCTCGTGAGGAGGAGGCGAGAGCTGATACTGAGAGTGTCGATCAGTGAGGGGTGGGGCGAACGCCGAATTATCTACCTCGTGATCAGCTATCTGAGTTCCTGCGCGCGTGTTTGGCTGCGCTCTAATGGTTGCGTGCCACCTGGCGTGGCTTCCACGCAGTGTATCTTTCTTTCTTTGCTCCTGAACTAACGGGTAGATAGGTCTTGTCTCAGTCTTGCTGTAGCAGGTTGATGTCTTGGTTGTGCATGCTTGCAAGGCTGAAAGACAGACGTTTGCGGCCTCGCCTCGGTGTGTGTATGAGATGAGCAGGTGATTGAATCAAGGCACGGCATCGCATTAGGTCATGTAGACAGAAACATCTTTCTTAAAGCACCACCACGTCACGGACACGCCGAGGAGACACTGTCCTCACAGTCCTCAGCGTGGAACAGAGAACCATGCACCACACCACACCACACCGCACCGCACCGCACGGACAGACCGCCATCTCCATCTCCATCAGTGAATACTCGCGACACGGACAGACGGCTGGGCAACAGCGCACATGTGCGCCGCCGCCGTTGAAAAAGGGTCGATTATTATGAGTCTGCGACCACCTCCATCTTGGAATCGATCTCCTGCACACGCCACACACACACACACACACACACAGAAAGAGAGAGAGGGAGGGAACAAGTGGCCCGTCAGCCTCAGGCAGACGTATGTGTGTGTGTGTGTGTGTGTTTGTGTGTGTGTGCCTACCTCTTCGAACTGCTCCTCGATCTCCTCCCACTCGATCTGGTCCTCCAAATCGTCCCACCCGTCCTCCCAGTCGTCGTAAGACGGCTGCCGTATAACACAACACGAACACGCGGCCGTGTAGCGTTAGTGTATCTTCCGTGGCGTCTGTCTGCCTGCCTGTGTCTTGTATGGTGTGCTTACGTGGTCTTTCCTGGCGTCGTCCATGGCTCGGAGCATCTCGAGGAACTCGTCCATCTGTTTCAGTGACACCACACACACACACAGATACCGACACAGATTGACGCGATGGACGGCCGTCGGTGGGTGGGTCGGTCGGTCTGTGGTCCCTCACCTTTTCTTTCCTGGCCCCCTGGAACTCTTCCCTCTTGGACCGCTTCAACTCTTCGTCGATACGGTCATAGCTGACACACACACACACACACACACATGTGGCTTGGATGAGGGCATCCATCACACCACATCCCGCCCGTGTGTGGTCAACACGGTATGGTGCCGTCAGTCAGTCATCGTATTTACTTCTTGGAGTATTCCTTGAGGTTTTTCTTGACTTCGTCGATCTTCTCGGGCGACACGAGCGCTGGAGGCCTGGGCCGCCAGGCCACGTGGTACAGCCGCTCCTTCTGCGCCTTGTACTGCAAACGGCCCTGGAACGACCAGATGGCAAACCTGACACACACACACACACACAGAGAGAGAGAGAGAGAGAGATGAAGGGACGTGTGTGTGCTGGTGTGCTGGTAGTGAGCGTGTGTACCCCACCCGGCTTCCATGTTGTATCTCCATGCGGATGCGCCGCCCGAGACCATGGGCACGGTCACGGCAGTGATGACGTACCGCCCAGTGGGGTCCCACATCACCTCATTCACCATGAAATGCTCGTCCTTGTGCACAATCTGAATGAACACACACACCAAGACACACAGGCACAGGGATACTGTCCGTCCGCTGCCGCCAATGTCTGTCTGTGATTTGTATGTACGCCTGCGTCCTTACGTCAGGTTTGCCGTCTGCGCTGAGGTTGCCGAACAAGAGAGTGCCGTCAGACCCCAGTGAGGCCAGCACGAAGTGGGTGCCGAGGGGCGACCAGTAGACCTGGTTGATCTGACTCGAGATGTCGAACGATGTGATGATCTGCACCAACACACAAACACATAGCAAAGCACCTTTATGTGTTCCGGCCACCTGACTGATTGTAGGGAGAGTGTGTAGGTGAGTGTTTGTGTCTGTCAGACGCACCTCGCAGGTGCCTTTGCCCCTGCCCTTCATCTGGTAGAAGCGGATCATTTGCGCGTGGGTCGTCTCGTCCTGCAGCAGCACCGCAAACCGACTACCTGTTGTGGACACAGATATGATCACACAGGACAGGAAGATCAGAGGACTTTCCACACACCCACCACCACCCACCACACACAGAAACTGACCTGAGTTCTCCCACTGGAAGAGTTTCAAATTCTCGCGCAGCGACACCATCTCCACCGGCACATTCTTCTCCCTGTCCACCACACACACACACGGATGCACCCACAGCCACAGCCACAATAACCCACACATCAAATCCCCACGGCTCCCTCCCTCCTTTGCTTGACACGTACCTGAGTCTGAAAATCTCGAGCTGGTTGTGTCCGGTCTTTTTGCTCTTGCTGGTGCGGGTGACGTTGAGGCAGAAGTAGTCGCCCCTGCTCTGCCAGTGCAGCTGCGCGTCACGCACCTGGAAGACGTTCTTGGTGGCCAGCTCGCGACGGGACGGAATCTCGATCAGCACCAGACGGCCGGGGCTGTTGCCGCGCTCGGGCGTCCAGATGGACAGCACGGGGTCGGTCGGCGACCTGCACACACAAGCAGAGGGAGAGGGGGGGGGGGAAGGGGGAAGATGTGTGTGTGGCGACTGACGTGGGTGTGTGTGTCTGTGCGCTCTGCTCCGTACCATTCGAATCTGTCGAGTCCGTCGGGGAACTTGAGCGGTGCGGTCTTGCCCTCGACCATGAGGGGCTTCATCGTCGCCGTCTCGTACACTGCACAGCAAAGGAAGGAGGAGAGAGGCACATTGCAGAGAGACGAACAATCCGCGTCGGAACCGTTGGTCATTTTGCTCACCGAGAATGTCCTTGTCGCTGCACTTGGCGAAGTACTTGCTGTCGGCCGACCACAGGAAGTGGGGGAACTCACCGCCCTTCGGGGCAACCATCGGCGTCTGCACACAGCAGCACAAGATAGCACAATATGCCGTCCATTTCGCCAGTCTGGCTGGGATGGGAGGAGAGGTCATTGCCTCGACTCCCTCCCTCCCTCCCTCCCTCACCGGGAATGAGCGCAGCACTTCGCCGGTTTGTGTGCGGAATATCTTGACGGCCTTGTCGTACTTGGCTGCGTGAGGGGTGCCGTCCCAGGAGATGATGTACTCCTCGTCTGGCGAAAACTCCAGGTGCTTGACCTCCTTGTGCTCGTACTTCATGGCCTTGCGGAAACCTTCCCCCATCCACAGCGCCACACCTGACAGCGTATTATGACGGCGGCAGAAAAATGTGCCATCCATCCATCCATCCATCCAATTGTGGGTGTGGGAGGCACCTACCTGGTCTGTGGAAAGTGGTGACGTATGAGCCTCTTGGCGACCACATTGCGCGGAACTCCGTCCAGACTTTGCTGCCCTTGGCGCGCTCCCGCGACCCGTTGTAGACGAGCATCGGCGCACGCTCAACCGGGTCGTGCCAGTAGATCTCCGTCTCATCCTGTCCGACCGACCGACGCACACAGACAGCAGACAGAGGATGTCTAGGGGGTGGGGAGACGTGTGTGTGTGTGTTGTGACGTACGGCGTATCTGAGCAGCAGCTGCTCCCTCTGACGCTCGTCGTTGAGCCACCACCACAGATGCTCCTGAAGGAGAATGACAGACAGACAGACAGACAGGCAGACAGACGAACAGTGGCGCACTGCACCTTTCATGGCCTGCCTGCCTGTGTGCCCTTTCTTTCGTCGGTCGGCAGGCTCACTCTGACGAAGAAAGGCACTGAAGGGGGCGGTCTGTAGTCCTCGGTGCGAGTGATGATCTGGTCGTAGTTGTCGAGCATCACCGCCTACACCACACAACAAAAGACAAGACACCACAGGATGGAGCGACGAGATACACCTACTCGTGTCCTGTCCATCCTGGCTGACCGACCGACCGACCTTGAATGTGTGTGATCTGTCGAGCGCGTGGCCATTGAGGTTGTCGCACGCCAGCTTGGCGTCATCGGCCGATGAGTACGTCACAAAGAAAAATCTGTTATACAAGCCACACACAGACAGACAGGCAGACACACACATCCATCCATCCATCCATCCATCCATCGGTTTGTCTGTGCGTGCGTCGGTGGCTGTCTGTCTGTTTGTTTGTCTCTGTGTGTGTGTGGCTGACCCGAGTCCCTGCTTGTTGTCGTCAGTGATCATTTCGCACTCGGTGACCTCCCCGAACCGCTCGAACAGCTTGAGCACGATCTTCTGCAGCTTCTCCTGCTTCTCAGGACCCACACAAGGCGCACCACCCACTGCAACACACACACACACACAGACATGATGCGCGTGTGTCGGGTGTGTGAATGAGTGACGCGACACACTGACTGACCCATGACGGTGTTGGGGAATGTGTGTTCCTTCTCGCCCTCATCCTCGTAGTCCTCAATGCACTCCTCACGGTCACTCAGGTACTCCAACAGATCCTCCTCCCCCTCTGACACAGAGACAGACAGACAGACAACAGAAGGCGTTTGAAGGCAGGCATGTCGTTTGGCCGCTGCGAGCATGGTGCAGCGCCCAGTGCCTTGACTCACCGGGGAGGTCAGCAAGCTGCACCTTGACCGATTCGGGCGGCATCACTGACTGATGTGGTGTCACTCACTGTGCCTCTGACCAAATCAGCCGATTCCTTCTTCGCAAAGCGTCAGTTTCTCACGTGTGCAGACGTGCAGACAAGCTGCCCTGTCGTCCACAAGCAGATCCGCAGCGAGCGATCGGCGAAAAGCTCGCATGCGAAGGTAGAAGCAGATCTCGTCGTTCCCGGCGTGTGTGGGGTGACGCAGAGGCCTCCTGCCACCGAGACGCTCTCTGATTTGAGATATTGAGGTTTCCATCAGCTTGCGAAAATGGTGAGTGACGATGTGCTGCACACTTGTCCGCTCTTCTCTGCCTATCCTATGTGTCTGTCGTGTGTGCGTGTGTGTTGTGTGTGTGCTCACACAGCCGGGCAAGAACACGCGTATGCAGCAATGGATCAACTACAGGGTCCGAGTCACCATTCAGGTCAGTCAGTCAAGCCAGAGAGAGGAGGGGAGTGAGCGCCATACCACCGTGTGTGTTGTGTTTTGTGTGTTGTGTGTTGTGTGTGTGAGTGCAGGACACCCGGATGTTGGTGGGCACCCTGCTGGCCTTTGACCGGCACATGAACATCGTGCTGGCCGACTGCGAGGAGTTCAGGCGCATCAAGGAGAAGAGAGAAAAGGGCAAAGGTACATGCGGTCGTCACGTCACCTGACTGACTGACATACGAAGGATGTGGTTTGTGTTGTGTCTTTTTTCTTTCTTGTTCAGAGAAGGAGGAGAAGGAGATCAAGCGCTCGCTGGGCTTCGTGATCCTGCGCGGCGAGAACATCATATCGCTCACAGCCGAGGCGCCACCGCCCTCGGGGGTACGTGGCCTGGCGTGGCCTGTCTATCACACAGACACCACACTCAACGCAGATACACACACGCTCATCTGCCTTGGTTGGCTGGGGTGTGTGTGTGGGTGTGTGTGCAGAAGAAGGCGGGCGAGGGAGTGGTAGCCGGTCCGGGTCGCGGCGTGGCTGCTGGACGAGGAGTGCCCGTCGCCCCCATGGGCGGACCCGCTGCAGGTACCATTGCGTGCGCACTCACGAGTAATTAGAACTGATTCTGCCACTGGAGAACACGCTCATCATGGTGATGTATTGTGTTGATATATCCTGTGACATGATCCCCCCTCGCACGCACAACACAGGTTTGGCAGGTCCTGTTCGCGGTGTGGGCGGTCCTGGGATGGCGGCCATGATGCCCCGCATGCCCATGCCCGGTGCGAACCGAACCACCTCGTTGACTGACTGACATACTTACAAATCGATATTTTGGTGTGGTTTGGTGTGGTGTGGCAGGTGCGATGCCTGCAGCAGCTGGGGCGAAGTAAGTCGATGGAAGCTAGGGATCATCAATCTTGATGTGGGATTATTGGGGCTGCCGTTGGTGTGTCGTGTTGTGTGTAGGGATGCGGCTGGTCGCCCGGCGATGCCGCCGGGGATGATGGGCATGATGGCGGGCAGGATGCCGGCGTAAGCTCACTACCAACATACACCCACACACACATCCACCACCACACCAGGCACACAGGGATGGACACACTTGCGCGTGGATATATGTCTCTCTCTCTCTGTCTCTCTCTCTCTCTCTGTGTGTGTGTGTGTGGTGTCAGCATGCCTCCCCCGGCCATGATGCAGCAAATGATGGTGCGCACCACACACGCCTGACGGAAGAAAGGCACACGACGGATCCACCTCACCACACAGACTGCATTGTGTTCATTTCTGTTCTGTCTGCCCTTGTGTGTGTCAGGCCGGCCGTGGCATGATGCCAGGCATGATGCCGCCCGTAAGCACCTTCCTTCCCCACACAACCACTAGAAGCAGACAGGCCGCCCACATCTTTCTTCTGTCTGTCGTGCTGTTTGACAGGGCATGCGGCCGCCCGGTGCCCCCGGTGCCGCCCCCGGAGCGCCCGGCGCGGCCCCCGCTCCAGCGGCTGCACCGCAGCAGACCACCCCGCCCACACAGCCGACGGGAGGGGGGGCCGCTCCACAGTGAAGTCACTTGAGGGAACGAGCGAATGGGCAGGGTGAGCCACTGCATGGGATGGGCGGATCAGGCGTGTCATGGCTGGTACTGTTTTAACGTACGTCTGGTTGGTGAAACTGACTGACTGACTGACTGACTTCATGGTCGGACTTATTTCGAGGTGCTTGTGTAAGTGATTTGGGTGCGGTGGATGGATGGATGGGTGGGAAGGCTCTCTGCATGACTCGACTCTCGCTCCCATGTGTGTGGACACGACACGAGACACGTGCTGATTTCACAGGTACCCATACAATGAAGGACAAGTCAAGGTCCATCCATCCATCCACATGATATCAGACACACAGAGAGGCCAGCCAGACAGACCGACAGAGGGTCACGCATCCCCGTCTCAGACAAAGGAACCAAGGAGGGAACCAACGGACCAACATCGAACGTCCATCCATCCATCCACGCGTCATCACACACACACACACACACGTATCTCTACAAGCCCCTCCTCTCCCTCCCCTCCCCTCCCACATCCATTTGCTGCCCTTTAGAGGTATAGGTAGCGAGACGTCACGAAGGGGGAGACATTAGCCAGCCGGCCGGCTGTGGCCAAAAATTGCTCACACACACGTTGACCGATCGATATGATGCATTCGTTGACCCGATCCACCTGTCTGCCTGTCTGTCTGCCTTCCTGCCTGGTGTTTTGTGGGCGTTAATTATGCAATAATCATCATCATCATTATCATCAAGACACGTCTACAAGGACGCACGGCCAATTGCCTATACGATTGCCATCGGTCGATCCCTCCGACCTTCTCGTCAGTCAGGCGGCGGTTGTGTGTGTGGGGGTAGGTAGGTCATGCTACTTCATGGGCCTGACAAAACGAACACACACACGACACAGCCACACGTCATGTGCATCTCTCTCTCTCTCTCTGTGTGTGTCCATCCCTCCCTCCCTCCGTCCCTCCCTTCCGTCGCACCTCACCTGCCATTGCCATACGCCCTGTTGATGTGCATGACCTGCCCGCCGCACCCCACACCGCCACCGTGGCCGTTGACCAGCAGGGGGTCGTACATGGCCGCATGGGGTCCATGGTGGTGATGGTGGTGGTGGTGCTTGTGGTGGGGGCTGTCCACCGATCGGGGCGATGACGAGGGCGACCGGGATGGCTGCATCGACGGCATGGGCATGTAGCCATTGGTGTTGGTGTGGTTGTTGCTGTGACTTTTGTTGTGGCCGTTGACGTACAGACCGTTGCTGTTGTTGCTGTCGGTGTTGGTGTGTGCGCTGGGGTGTGTCGGTGGGTATGAGAGGGATGGCTTAGTGGACGTGCTGCTGTCGGACGTGACGTGGCCCAGAGGGTTGTGGCTGTGGCATCCCGGCGGCGAGCAGTCGCTGCTCGCTGCTGCGGCGTCCATGACCACGTCGGCAACAGCCTGCACACCCAACCAACCAATCACAGACGATAGATAAGACACGCAGAGCAAGATGACTGACATGCTTCTCCTCACTCCATTGGACCGACCTTGTTGAAGAAAGAATAGGACGCACCGAGCTCGGCCTTGAGACGCGCAGCCCGCTCTTCTTCTGCCTCGTGATCGCGCCTGGGACGCAGGCCGAGGCCGCTGTGCTTCTCCCGCCGCCGCAGCTGGTGGCACGACACAGGCGCACCCATACTGTGCCAGCCTGACACACAGGGAGAAGGGAATCAATCAGTCGAGGCACTTCCTCCCAGACAACAACCAACCATCGTGTGTCTTCTCCCTCACTTGCGCTAGGGTAGCCGTCAAACTCTGCCGGTGTGGCCATGGGCGGCTCGAAGATCGACACGTCCGTCTCGATGTCGCAGAAGGGCTCCCGCACCCACCGGTCCTTAGCGCGCTTGCCGTACAGATCGATGGCGCCACTCGGAGCGGGCCATGCCTCCGCATCCTCAGCAGAGGCGGCAGCAGTGGGCGGCGGTTCGCCGACCGGGGTCATGCGGAAGCGGTCCAGCCACATACGGCCACCACGACCTGCGTGTTCACGCACGAACGAGCAAGCAGGCCGAGTGTGTGCATGTCATGTCATATCGGGGCGGTTGGCGGGCTTGTCTGTCTACTCACCTCTTCGCAATCGTGACCGCATGGTGAAGGCGGGCAGCCCATCGCCATGGTCTGCCCCCCTCCCGTCCGCTGCAGCAGCCACTTCACCCCGTGACACACCCAGCGATGTCACCTCCTGTGCAGACGCGTCAGCGGGGCCTGGTGCGGTCGGCACGGCCAGGTGCAGGCCATCTCGCGGAAAGGCCTCGTGTCTCGGGCGCTTCCGCCCCACCCCCCGCGGCAGCCGCACGGCGATCTTGGCCTTGACCTGGTCGCGTCGCTTGGTCCACTCGGGGTGTGTGTAGGAGGGGTCGATGAGCTCCTGCCTGGCCTGCTCGAACTCCCACTGGGCGAGGTCTGCCGCGAGCATCTTCTTCTCCTCCCGCTGCTTGGTGAGTTTGATGAGCGCATCGGCCTTGTCGAGGTCCGCCTGCAGGGTCGCGCAACGCTCCACCACCTGGTCCTGCCATCATACACACACACACATACACACACACAAGAATAAAGGTACTGTTCCTCTGCTCACCCCTGCGCCTCGCCGAGGTCGCCGTAGGCTCATCCGTGAGCTGCCTGGGCGGGGACGGAATGTCTGAAGCAGGAGAGAGGGGCGCACAGGACAGGTGACGCTTGTTCGTATCTATCGGTGTGTGTCGGTGGTTGGTGAGTGCAGTGCCTGACTGACCCCGAGAGGGTTTGGATCGTTTGTCGCCGCCCGTGGCCAGAAGACTCGCAGCAGCGGGGCCTTCCTGGCCTGCCGGCGCGACAGCCAATACTGCCGACACACACACACACCAGGACACTCAGGTGTGTCTTGTGGTGTGGTATGGTATGCGGATCGTTGCTGACTTGACTGACCATGAAAACGTTGTGGAGTGGTTTGGCCTTGATGGCGGATTTCTCGTCCCTGTGCCGATTGAGCTCACGCTGCACCTGCAACAGGAACTCCTGATTGCCCGCTGCAGTCAGTCGCACAGCCAGATAAACAGACAAACAGGGACACAAACAACAGCAGCTATGCGCACCCCAGCTCATCATCTCATCTCATCGATGAGTGATGTCACTCACACCCATCCCTTGTGTGTCACTGACCGACAGGCAGCTGTGGGTGGTTCCGCTGCCGCTTCTCAAGGTGGTCCATGATGCGCACAAAGTCCTCCTCAGTCAACCTGGGCTCCTCCTGCCCCCCTCCCTCTCCCTCTCCCTCGGTGTGGTTGTAGTGCTGCAGCCATTCTTCGTCCTCCCTCAGCATGTCGTAGAGGACGTCCACACGGCAGGGGTCGCTCGGCGAACCGAAGCCATACGGCTGCTGCTGCGTGTGGAAGGAGTTGGGTTGGTCGGCTGCTGCGGCTGCTGCGGCTATGGGGGCGTGCCTGTTGTCCTTGTCGCGGCGCCGCTTGTGCCGCTCCTTCTCGCGATCTCGGTCAGACGGGAACCGGATGCCGCTGCAACTGAATGAAGAGAACACAGAGGACGGTACCGGGGGGAAACGGTTATTGCGTGTCGGTCGGTCCAAGGTGTGAGAGATTGAGTGATTGATTCAAATGAGGCTTACTAGTCTCGTTGTATTGCGAATCTGATGAAGTGTGTGGGGCGCTGCCAGGCGCTGAGGGCGTCGGTGGCTTGAGCCGAGCTGTGCACCACTGCACCCACAAAGCAACAGAACACCGATATCGATAAGGCATCCGTCCGTCGAATGCGATTGATTCATGCTTCCTTCCTTGCCATAGCTGCCTGCATACCAGTGGTCGGCACGACGATGGTCTTGCGATTGAGGGGGTTGTGCACCTTGGTGTGGTGGAAGAACTCCGTCTGCAGCGACGACGCCTCGTTGGGGTCCAGACGATCCTCACCCTGCATGACACACACACACACACACACACACATACACGGGCAGGAGGATGCAATCAGTCAACCGATGCACACACTGCCTGCCTGCCTCCCTCCGGCTGCCCACCTACTTACCTTGAGTTTGGCGAGGTCGCCCACATTGCGTGTGATTGGGATGGGCTTGCCGTAGTCGACAGGCCGGGAACGGATGTTGCGAATCATAATCCACTAACACACAGATGGATGGATGTCAGACGACCCGACCAGGCCGCCAAACTTCCTCACAAAGCAAAGACAGAGGTGCGTTGAGTTGAGTTGATCAATGAACCGTTCGGTCACGGCATCGCCGTCCTGACTGACTGACTGACAGGCCGCCGCCCCGCCTGCCGCACCCCTCAATGAATGAACGAAGGTCAGTCACCGAGACAGTCACGGCCGTCAATGCCTCTGCCGCAGGAAGAGTCGATGAAACACCGCCTCAAGGGCGAGGCCGAGCTGGGCTGGCGGCCTTCAGACGTCTCCGCAGAGGCCACAGGGACGGCTGGAGGTGGCTGCTGATGCCCTGAGCCGACGGCTGCGTTAAGGGACTCACCACTCCACAATCAGCCTTTAGACCCCTGGCCGCCTTGGTAGCTCGATTGTTGTGAGTCCACTGCCTCCTCGTTGATGCCTCAGACCCAGGCTTTTCCTCCCCCTGCTCGGCTTGCGATTGCGAGCTCGTCTTCGAAGCGGAAGGTGCAGGAGCGGCAGGGGAGGCCCCGCACCACACGCAGGAGGGCTTCAGTGAAGCGCCTCTGACGAGAATCGTCCCGTTTTTTCTCGTGATTTGCGTCCATCGTCAGCGAGTGGCAGAATGCATCGCGTTTCGGCGCTTCGGGTGAGTCATTCAACACGCTATAGCAACACAGAACCATCCCATTCACTTCTCCCTCCCTGTCTGTCCTGATCACATCAGGGCCTGGCTGCCCCGGGCGGCAACTACATCGCGCGAATCTACCACCAGCGGGCACCTGCATCTTCCCTCTACCGGTCCCTGACTGTGGCGGAGCGGCTCTTTGCCACTTCACGCCCGTTTGGCGCGCTCACCGGCCGCCACAGCTGCATTCTGAATCGGTGGGATGGCTCATCGCCCCGGTGCTCATGGTTCAGACCGGCCCCGTGTGTGGGGCAGCAGCGCCGGCTGTTCAGTGGTGCGTGAAAAGGACGAGATGGATGAGGGATAAGTGTCAGCTTGGCATACAATACACGTGTGTGTGTGTGTGTGTGTGCAGATGGTCCGAAGGAGATAGCGGTGCCCAACATGGGCGACTCCATCACGGAGGGAACCATCAACTCGTGGAAAAAAGGTGCGGTGCGTGCCATGCCTGCACAAGCACAAGCACGGCGCGGGTTCGTTCATGTGAGTGCGTGTGTGTGTGTGTGTGTATGGTTGTCATGTATGTCAGGTGTGGGTGAGTTCGTCAAGGCTGACGAGGTGATAGCGGTCATCGACACCGACAAGGTGTCGGTCGACATACAGGCACCCGAGAGCGGCGTCATCGATACCATCATGGCCAACGAAGGTAGGTATCTATCCACTCATCCACCTATACCTGTGCTGGCAGGTTGCTCGACACTCACACCACACCACGGTCTCCTCTCCCTGTCGGTCTGCCTGCCTGCAGGTGACACGGTGATGGTCGGCGCTCCCCTCTACAAACTCACGCCCGCGGCGGCCCCGCCAGAGGGAGCCGCGCCAGCCGCAGAGAAGAAAGAGCCCGCCCCATCACAGCCCGCCGCACAGCCATCACCCGCAGCCCCTCCCTCCACCCCCGCCCCTCCAGCCACCGACGCCAAGCGGCCGTCACCCCCCACACCGGCTGCTCCGTCGCCCCAGCGGCCGGCTGCACCTGGCCGGGGCGCTGCTGCGGTGGATGTGCGTGGTGAGAAGCGCGTGCCGATGAGCCGGATGCGGCAGCGGATCGCAGAGCGGCTCAAGGGGGCGCAGAACACGGCGGCGATGCTGACGACATTCAATGAGGTGGGGGAGTAGGGAGGGATTGGGCGGCGCATATTCGCTAGGGTGGGTGGATCATCAATTATGTGTGTGTGTTCAGTGTGACATGGGGAATCTGATGGCTCTGCGTAGCGAGATCAACGAGGCCTTCCTGGAGAAACATGGTTGCAAACTGGGTCGGTAGTACCGAATGACTGTGCGGACAGACAGACAGACAGACAGCGACCGCCCCCCTGGAGCGGTGCGTTGCGTTGCGTGCGTCATTTGTGCTGTTGTCTTGTCTTCGTTGCTTTTGTCTGCGCAGGGTTCGTGTCGGCCTTCATGCTGGCGGCCACCAAGTCGCTCCAGAAGATGCCCGAAGTCAACGGATGTAAGCAAGAACGAACCAAGCCCAACGAACATACAAAAGAATTGATGCCGCCCATCCATCCATATCTTGCTGTGTGTGTCCTTTTCTTTCCTGCCTTAGACATCGAGGGCAACGAGATTGTCTACAAGGACTACGTCGACATGAGTGTGGCCGTCGCCACCCCCACCGGACTGATGGTGCCCGTCATCAGGGACTGCCATAAGATGACACTCGCAGACCTGGAAAAAGTATGTATGCTGAAGCAGCAAGCAAAAGAGAGCGGGGGCAGGGAGAGGCCACACATGTCTTCGTGTGTTTGTGTATTTGTGTCTGTGTGTGTGCATCAGGCGTTGGCTGATTTGGCGAAGCGCGCACGCAACAACCAGATAGCGCTTGAAGAGATGGCGGGCGGCACCTTCACCATCTCAAACGGTACACCAAGCGGGGAGGGAGGCGAGAACACGCAGAATAATGACGCGTCAATCCATAAATATTATGTGTCGCGCATGTGCATGCGCGCATGTCCGTCCGTGTGGTGGCCCGGCCCGGTCCGCAGGTGGTGTGTATGGGTCGATGCTGGGGACGCCCATCCTCAACCCGCCTCAGGCTTCCATTCTCGGTCGGTGAGACAGGCAGAAATGCACAACACCAAAATGTGTGGATGGATGGATGGATGGATGAATGGGCCTGCGTCTGTCTGCTGTCTGTGTGTCTTGGCTTGGCAGGTATGCACGCCATCATCAATCGGCCAGTGGCGCGCGGCAAAGACATCGTCATTCGGCCCATCATGTACCTCTGTCTGCACCTGTGTAGCTCTGTGTTGGTTGATGCACGCAGTAGACGCACCCTCCCGTGTGCGTATGTGTGTGTGTCAGGTATCTGGCGCTGACGTATGACCACCGGCTGGTCGACGGCAGAGAGGCCGTGACGTTCCTGCGGTCCATCAGGGACTACATCGAAGACCCCAGAAAGATGCTCCTCGACCTCTGATTGATGGACGAATCGGCCCGTGGAGGGATGGATGGATAAATGGATGGATGGATGGATAAATGGATGGAGACCACCCACAAGAGAGGACCACACGCATATACATAACATACGCACAAAGACAGAGAGAGCGATATGGCTAAGCAGAAATCGTATATCAGGTTTGGCTGGAGAGGTGTGTTTGGTTTGTCTCTCTGTCTCTCTGTCTGTCTGCCTGGTTGGTCGGCCCTCCACGCGAGATTTTCGTGCCCACAGCGCCCTCGCCTGGATGGACACATACATACATACATACATACGCACTTTCTCATCATATCTGTCTGTCGCCTTTTGGGCTTGGTTTTGTCCGAGTGGTCACGTCACACGTGTGTGGCTGAGTGCGTGCGTATGCGACGGGGGCCTGTTAGTGTCCGTGGGAGGGAGGGAGGGTGGTTGGGTGTTTTAAAGGCTGGCTGCATTGCAACGGCGTACACAAGACCGCTGAATATGGCGGCGCATATCTCTCTCTACGTAGGCGTGCGTGTGTGTTGGGTGTATGTTGGTCGGTTGTCACCTTGCTAATTGACACGACTGACATGGTTGGTCTGTCTGCACCGAATGATGGATGTCATTATTCACTCAAGGAGCAAACTTGTTGATCAATCATTCACTCATCAGGCAAACGAGAGGGATGCACAGAGTCCACGCATCACCACGCATGCTTTATCTATCAGGCAGACAGGAGGCAATACAGGAAGACAAGACCCTCAAACAAACAAGACAACACGCCCCCCACTCACTCAAAACCACAGCTGGGCGAGACGACAGCCAGCCAGCCAGCCAGCCAGCCAGCCAGACAGACAGACAGACAGACAGACAGAAGCACCACCTCCGGTGGCCATAGAAGCACCAGCTGGCACTGCTGCAGCCCCTGCCGATGTTCTTCAGACATAACAGCAGACCCTCCGCCATCAGCGTAGCACCACCACCACCACCCTCCATCCCTCCATCAGTCAGTAGTGCTTGCCGAACATCCATCCGCCATCAGTGTTGTACTTGCGCGGCCGCCCCAGCGGATTGGTCTTGTCGCTCACCACCACAGCCGCCACTCGGTGGGTGGCGTAGGGCGAGAAGTCCTTGCCAGATCCGGTCAGCCTCCTCGACAGCTCCGACGCCGCCGTCTTGACCTCGCCATCCACCCTGCCGTAGATGATGGCTGGCGTCTGAGGGAAGTTGAGGTAGCTGATGCCCAAACCAAACGCCAGAAACACAGCCATTGGTTGGTTAGTGTGTTTAACGAGACTCGTGTCACACAGCCATCGAGCTGTCTGCCCTTTCCGCTTCGTTTTAAGGGCAGGGTCGATAGCTCCTAGCTCCTCAGATCGGAAGCACCCCGACAAAATCTGGCAGGTGCCGTGCTGTCGCAGTTCTCTTTTTCCCCGTTCCCCGTCAGTCAGAGCAGGAAGAATTCCCGTATGATGAAATAGTTCAGAAGGTGAGGAAATCGACGCGCCACACCACAAGGAGAAAGGTCCGAGGCGCTCCTCGGCTTCTCACATAAAAGATGGACGAGGGAGCCGACGTGATGGACCAGCCCGCCAAGAAGCACAAGGGCGAGACCCCTCCACCCACAACAGCGCCTGCGGACTCTGACAGGGTGAGAAGACCACTCCAGGCCTCACATCATCGTGGGAATCCGATCCATTGATCCGTTCATCCGGTTGCAGCATCACAATGCCATCCTGGGGCTGCAGGGGACGGTGGCAGCACTGCAATCGCTCCAACACAAGGTCAGGTCAAACAGACAGACAGACAGACAGACAGGC